GAGAAATTTGGGCTGCAGCACTGAAATATGAAAGGACAAGGCAGATAATTGTTCACATAGTTTAAATGATTCCTCTAGTAATCTGCTTCATCTTTCTTGCTAGTAGAGCTTCTGAAGGTGAGTAGGACTTCATGAAAATGAGGATTCCTTGATGCAGTGACTTTTAACCAGTGACAGTTTTGCAGTTGCCTATGTCAGACCTACTGTTCTCCAGTGAACAACCTGTAATCCTTCTGCACTCTTGTGGTGATTGTACAGGGTCATTAAGGGTGGGATGTGACTGTTCTTCACAGGCTTTGCTTCTGTAGCAAAACTTTTGTCATAACACTATGAAGAATCCTTTTCTGTAAAACGATTGATGTCTTCCGTTGTTTGTTAATAAGATTTAAACTCTCCCCCTGATTATAGTCCCTAAAGAAAATCTGACTAATTTGTGCAGAAGGCTTTCTTTTCAGTCAAAAGTAAACAAATCCTGAACCAGGTCCCTTTTAAATTGAAACTAAGTTGAGGCATGCTAAAATTTTTCTCCCAACCTTCCCTCATCTCTTAGCAGAGACTGCAGAGGTGTGATTGCATAGCTATGAGCAAGAGCGTGTAAATTCCCTCTGCTTTTTTGAAGTGGTCTAATTTCAAGCCCCTTTATGCTATACTGATCCATGAAAAGGTTTTGATATGTGCTGTTTCTTTCACTGCCACCAAGGCTTCTCTGTTGCCTCTTGTGCACCTGGACTGACAGGGCAGAAAGCTTTGGCCTGTAGAGAGCAAAAGTGCAGTATCTGATAAGAGAGGTTCACTTGTGTTTGTGAATTGTTGAGCATGGCATCTTAATGTCTCAACAGAAGACAACCATGATAAATTGCATAGCCTTGCAGCATATTTTATACTTTCTTTACTGTGTTACTGTATTAGGCTTTGTATCTTTTTTCTTTGTTATGCATTGCCTGGGAAACCCCAATCCTGCAAACTTTTGGGGTTTTTTTTTGTGGTTTTTTTTTTTGTGTGTTTTTTTTGTTGTTGTTTGTTTTGTTTTTTTTTAATGCAAAAGTGAAGTTTTTGAAGAGAGACACTGCACTGTGAGAAGACTTCACAAGGGATTCTCTGCTAGGCTGTTCCTCCTAGTGTAGTTTGCAGTAAAATATGTACTTGTTTTGATTGAGGTGTTGAGCCCTGTAATCAGCTGTGTGAAAAGAGCTGATGGCTTCCAGGCTTCTGAAGGAAAACTGAGCATAGATATTCTCCCATGAGCCCAATGACTGAATCTTGTGCACTGTTGCCTTTCTTCAACTGTAAATAGGCTGAGCTGTACTAAAGCTTTTTGAAATAGCTCTAGAAGGCATATGTAAGTGGGCTTGATCTTGTGATAGGGTTAAACAACTGCTAGATAAGATATGAAAGATTTGCCTGCTAGGAAGGTTCTGTTAATGTATGGCCGAGTCCAAGTGTTAAACTGAGCAGAGGCTTTTGGAAGTAGAATTTTGACTGGACTGCATGAGAGGTATATTCACACTTGTCAGGGTTATCAAATGGTAGAGTAATAACTTGATCAGGATTTGGCAGAGACAAAAAGCTAAATTATTGTAAAATTTTAATAATGAGCTGAATAAAATAAATGGATACTTTTGTTCTTAGTTCACTTCTTTTGTCCCTGAGTTCACTTTTGCTTTTTCTTCCCATGAATTGGTGTTTTTTAAATTAATTTACTTCCTCACCTTTGGACTCATTCTGCTCAGGTTATTTGTCATGTTTAATTGAAGCGGGATTTAATTCACAGGGAACTATGGGATGTTACATTTAGTGCTGCACATTTGGTCTTGCAATATAATCAAGAAAACCTAATACAGTAACAAGATCTGCTTACAATGAATGTAGTCTGTCTGCTTCTGGTGTAACTACAGCATGTTGTTAGATTGAAATGTATCTTACAAGATACTCTCTCATCCAATTCAATTACCTTTTAAAAATAGGGATGCTGTTTTAGGACCTATTCTGTGACCACTTAAGTTGTCAAAAGCTTTTTGAAACACTATTACAGAGTTTGAAGTCTTTAAAGCCTACACAATATATTGGTGTTTTGTATTACTAAGGAAATCCCAGCATCCCTAGACACTTTTGAAACTGGAAATATTTTCTTCCTTATGGGAATTGAATTGAACATAGAAATATTATTGCACATTTCAGTCTGCAATGCTGTCTTGTTATTTTTAGGTTTGTGGTTTTCTGAACCCTAACCCTAGGCGTGACCTAAACCAAACCATAGGCACAGCAGTAACACCAGCCTTGGGCAGAGCTGGTGGCCAGCAGAAAGATGTGGACGGAGCCATGTTGTAGTAGTCCTGTGTTTCCCCTTGACATGCCATTTTTGTCTGCTATCTGCTTGAACTGTCTGCATCTGGAAAGTCTTACAGCACTGATTTTTGTCAGAATTTGTGAAGATAGCCATAATCTCCTTTGTTATTGTTTTTATCATAAATACTGAAGACTGATGTGAAGTTTCTGATCCTGTGCTGCTAATGGAATTTGTCATGTGTAGATGTGTAATATTAGTTTCAGTTAAATTCTTAAACAACATGTGATGGCTACATTGAAACAACTTCGAAGTTGTCGAATGAAGGAACTCATAAATTGCCTCTGCTTTGTTAATTAACTTCTCTTACTTCACCTTCTGATACCATCTTTAATTACATTGTCATATTAGTTTTTCCAAAGCTGCTTGCTTCATGCACGGTAGAGATCTGCTAAAAGGTTGTAAACTGAAGGACACTTTTGCCTGGAGGAGTCTGCTGGACTTCTACAGACGTGGAAAGATTTCTGTTTGCAGGAGATGCTGGCAAAGAGGAACTGGCAGGAAGTGGGCAGGTGATCTAAAGTATATGTCAGTTAAATATTCCTTGGATTATCAGCTATGGTATTAGGCAAAGTACTTAGAGCAGACTTTTTCTAAATGGTGTGTAAGCATGCATTGTGTTTTCCCAGTGTTTCTTGTTAGAAATGTTGAGTGCTCAGAGTTGCAAACACATTGCCAGAAGGTGTGCATTTAAGGTATAGTGGTATCATTACTTAAGGAAGTCATGATAAAAGCACCCAGATCCTGGGTCTTGGGTTCTCAAATCCACTTGCTGCTTTGATCTCTGATTATTTTTGTGTGTGAGTTGTAGTTTTTTGTTTTGTCTTGCTTTGTTTTGTTTTCTCTCTGCAGGAGCATCAGTAATGTAGAAATAGTACTACAATTCATTTTCACAGGACTGTTTTACAAGTAGCAGTGTACTGGCAGGTGCCTTTAAGTAAATGAGTACATGAGCTAGTTCTTACTGGTTGTGCACAGTCCTCTCCACTGCATCTGGTTCCAGGTGGTTTATAATCTGGAGAGTAGCTTGTGCCATTTCATTCTGGAAGTGGTGTCACCCAAACAGATAAGGTGTGCAGGATTTATGCTGGTTGTGCTGACTTCTCCACACATGGAACATGTTATCTGCAAAAAAGATGGGCTAGATTGTGTTACTTGTATTGTGTGAGAGTGCGTAGCAAATGCACAGGAAATAAATACATTGTAAATGCTGAAAGAAGCAAGGTTAAGATGGAGATTGAATCTTGAATATATGAAAATATGTGTATATATATACACACAGTGAAGTGCATAACCTACTTGCTTGCTTCAGAAATCTTAACAGTTGTACCCTTTATATTTTTGAACTCTTTTAAAATGGCAAAAGTCACTGCTACTTTTGGGACAGGCTGGATGTTTTCCTGTGCTAGCAGTTTCAAGAATATAAAGAGAGCACATGTACAGGGAGCAGAGATGTCCACTACAGAGAAAATATTTTCATCTTTTAAAATATGAACAGAGAAATCCCTTCTATGCTGGCAAAGAATTGCTGTGTGGGATTTGGCAGCTTGTGCTACAAAAAAATTCTGTTTGTTGTTGGGCGCTTCGGGTTGGGCTTTTTTTTGCTATGGTCCCAAAGTGAAATAAATTAAATGCCTAGTTGGTTTGCAAAAAAGAGAATAAAGATGTAAAGTTTATTAAAAAAAAGGAAGTGTGTGTGGTGGGGGGGGAGCTCTGTGGCTTAGATACTGGTGTGTAAGGGAATAGTACTGTGTTCTCTTAAGTCTCTCAAATATCTGCAAGATATCAATCTTTGTTTCATTTTAACTTTCCCCTGCAGGTGTGCAACTGCTTTGATACTCATATATCTAGGATATTAAATAATGGATGAATTGAATGTTTCAATGTTTTATCCTATTCTCATAGTCCTTTAATATGACATCTCAATTTATTTGGCTTTGAATACATGAAGGTTTTATCTTTCATGTTGTTTGGTTTTGTTTACTTTGGTATTGATAGAGATACACCCTTCTATGTGAATATGGTGCTCTGCAGATGTTTTTTCAACTGTTTATGATATGGTTTCTGGCAGAATGCTTCTAAGAATTTGTAATTCTATTACTGGAAGTTATTTTAAAAAATAGAGAAATAACATCTACTTTTTTTACCTGTGCAGTTTATTCAACATTAGTTACTAAGTAACTCTGAACAGACATGGTCAGATTGCATAAGCGCCATAATGAGAAACTAAAAATGCAGTGATCTGCATAAAGTGATTATTGCATAAACTTCTGTTGGGCTTATTTATTTCAGTAGCACCTTATTACAGTCACTGATCTCAAAAGTTTGAGCATTATAAGCTATTATCATGAGAAAAAGTATGATCCCATATAACATACTTTAAAAAATTCTATCCTCAAACTGAATTAAAAGAAGAAAAGTTTGTATTCTCTTAAAGACTATTCTTTTCTGTTAGAAACTATGATTTGATGTGCACTGGTATATGTGTGGTCCATTTCTTTCTGGTTTTGTTTTCTTTTTAACAGATTTCTCTGGGTACCAGAGCTCAGGACGCAGTATCAGTCTCATCACAATGCTTGAACATCTGTAGCTCGCTGGAGGATTTTAAAAAGAAATTCAGCATGACCTAGTTGGCTTGACCTGTGGAAATTTTATAATGTCCTCTGGAACAAGTATCAGCAGAAACAGGCAGGCTCCCAGCCTGCAGGGTGTTGACCCAGAAACATGCATGATAGTGTTTAGAACACATTGGGCACAGGTAATGTTAATTAGTTTTATTGATTGAAGTAAGCTGCATTAATACAAATTTGCTTCATTCTTTCTTTTGGGATAATCCTGAATTGCTCAGGAACAAATGTCTTTTCATGCAAAACGTAGCAGATGACATTGAACTATTTTTCAAATGCAAAGATAATTGACCTTTCAAGGTATGGTTAGCCTTTAGTGATCACACTTGGAACTCTGGATTTGCATCTAAATGGGAAGTGGTAGGACATGGTAATATCTTATTGAAGGCCTAGATCTTCTTACTGGCTTTCCTATTGATTCATTGTGACTTGCACCCTATTGCAGACTTCTGTGCTTCTTTTCCTTGTGCTGGGTAAGTCTTGCTTACCCTTTTTAAAGTGAATTAGATGGACAGTGCAAAGATGTATGCACTCTTGTTTATTATGGATAGATGTAGATTATACACTTCAGCATATTCTAAAAATTGTTTGCATGTCATCAGGATTGTAATTGCTTTTAAGCAAAGATGTTTTGCTGTGAGCATCATAATATAAGTTCTTGTTTGCTGCAGTAATATTAATAACCTAACAATTTAGATAAAATTAATTTCTGTGCTGCTGTTCTTGTTGTTCTTTGGCTCTCCCAAGAAACCAGCCAGACAAGTGGTGGTGTTTCTGAGGTGTTCCAGAGTCAGAGGAGCTGTTGTTCAAGAATCACCTTTTCTCACCTAACTAGTGATGTGTCATATTAGGGGAACCACTGTTCCTTTAGGGTTTTGTGGGAAAAAGGCTAAAGACAATGGGGTTTTTTTGCAGACAATAAGCTTTATTGTTTGCATGCACAACAGAATGTAATTCATTGTTAGAAGTGCTGGTATGACTATTATTACTATATTGAAATTTGCAAGAGTATGTGGGTGTCAATGGCCACTTGGTATCATATAAAAGGTGTCAAGCAAAGAACAGCACTGTGGGCTGCTGCTACTTTTATTACTGCAAATCATCCCATGATATTGATATTCCTGAGCACAGTTACTCTGGCTGGAGAACAGGCCCTTTGATTTCAGTCTTCCATGACAAACTTGTTTCAAACATCATGGAAGCTCAATTTCTGAACACTAAGGAAACCTAATTTATCCCTATTTGAGAGAACCCCTGGTTTTCAGGAATAGGGTAAATGACAAATTTAGGTGCTTATTAAAAAAGGTAAACAACAGCAGTCTATTTTTGCCTCGTACATACCAAATGTGAAACTTTCGGGTCTTGTCTGTCAAACTTCCTAAATTTGAAAACATAAAAAGACTTAATGCTTTTCGTGTTAAAGAATTTTTTTTTTTTTTTCCTTGTAGTGATAGGTCCATGCTTTTTATGATGCATTCCAGTGCATTAAAACTGATCTGTCTTTGTTTCTCTTTAGGTTCTGAAAATCTTAGAAAAGCATGATCCTTTGAAAAATACTCAGGCAAAATATGGGGCAATCTCACCTGATGAGGCCAGCACTGTCCAGAATTACGTGGAGCACATGCTTTTCTTATTAATTGAGGAGCAAGCAAAGGATGCCTCAATGGGGCCTATTCTGGAGTTTGTGGTCTCAGAAAACATCATGGAGAAGCTTTTCCTTTGGAGCCTACGGCGAGAGTTCACTGATGAGACAAAAATTGAGCAACTCAAAATGTATGAAATGCTCGTAACCCAGTCTCACCAGCCTTTGCTGCATCACAAGCCCATTTTGAAGCCTTTGATGATGTTGCTGAGCTCCTGCTCAGGAACAACCACTCCAACAGTGGAAACAGAGTTGGTTGTCCTCTTGAACCAGCTCTGCTCTATAATAGCCAAAGATCCCTCCATTTTAGAACTGTTTTTCCACACTAGTGAGGACCAAGGAGCTGCCAATTTCCTCATTTTTTCCCTGCTGATCCCCTTCATCCATCGAGAAGGAACAGTAGGCCAACAGGCCCGGGATGCCCTGCTTTTTATCATGTCTCTGTCTGCAGAAAACAACCTTGTTGCAAGTCACATAGCAGAAAACACCTATTTTTGCCCAGTAAGTTGGTTTTATTTTACATGGTCTTCAGCGCTAAACTAACTGTCTTTCCTGCATTCTTTCCTCCTTTTCTGTCATTTTTGGTAAAGAAGTGTTGTAACACATTTGTTTGTGCTAACACCTATTTATTTCATAAATGGTAATGCTGTTTAAACCATCCCCAATGCCAAACATAGTCTTGCTTCTTGTTTCCATACTTTTGTGCTTTTGGGTCAGCACAAATGTTTTTGCATTCACACAGTGAATTGAGTTGGAAAACTGATGAAAGTCATAGCAGAACGTAGTGGGAGGGAAATCTGTTCTATCTTACTGTGAGGCACCTTTGAGATTCTGGGGCTGAAGGGAGTGAGGAGTAAGGTGTCCTGAGAGTGGTTGTTTCAGGTGGCAGCACAAGCTTAAGCTGGCTGTGCTTCCCACACTGACATCAGTTCAACAGTTCAAAAAACAAGTATGAGAATAGTGAGAGTGTTACAGAAATATTACATTTTTTTCAAGATAAAAGGGGTATTTCCTCGTTGTCACAAAATTGGAGGTTTCTATGGCTGTCTCAGTCTAACCACCATCTTGCTATGTTGTTCTCTGTTACAAAACTTGGTAGCACTGTTGCATTGTTACACCTGGCAAATTGATCTTACTACATGAATAGAAAACCTTTACTTACCTTGCTGTTAAGTAAGTAATCTGATTTAACTAAGAAAGCTGTGCTACTGCAGTTTTAAAGCTGAAGCAGCCTGGAATAACAACACCTGCTTCTTCATGCCTTATCACAATCTGAGATCTGCAGTGGGTGTGTTCAAACCCAAGTATCACTCTGTACAGAAGTTGCTCTCATGGGTCAGTTTTTGGATGGATTCTTTTATATTCTACCTGGCTTGCATTTTGATTTAAAATCCTGGAGGAATGAAGTGGAGGAGAGTCTTACATGGCTACTAAAGCAGAGAGCTGTAGAAGAGAGAGCACTGGAATCCCTGCCACTGCTTGACAGCTGCTCCAGCCTTAGGTTTTCATTTATTCTGGGATTGCTTTGAGCAGTAGGGCAGAGCCACATTTGTAGGGTAGGTGAAACCTATAAAATCCACAACAAAACTTCTAAATGGTTTCTTTTGTCAGTTGTAAATATTGCATCAATTTGAGGCTCCAGTTGACCTGGTTTAATAGATACTGCCAAAGAATATGGTGTTGATTCTCAAACTGTCCCCAAGACACATGCCGTTATTGGATCCATGCTATAACTTCCATAATTACATTTTCCAATTAGTTAAAAAAAAAAAAACAACAAAAAACCAGCCTTATTACACTGAAGATAAAAGCCAGCTTTCAACAGCAGGGAGCCATGACTGACGATCATTCCAATTAGGAAGGCTTCTTGTCAAAATGTGCTAAAATCAGACTTCACTGAACAGTAATGAGGTTGGCCTAAGTCTATAATAAGACTTTAATGTAATGCCATATATTTAGCTTACCAGCACAATATCTTTTTTGAATTTGAGTTGTGATGATCTGAAAAACAGATTTTGTTCTGATGGAGGATTTTGTAGGTGTCAGTGACATTGCTGTATATCACTGAAATCAGTGCAAATATTGCCTCAGGTACCCTGCAAAACAGTTAATGCAGTCCTGTGTTGATAGCAGAGACATTTTGGGTGGCACTGTGTTGATGTTATCTTTGTTTCTGGGGATGGGTTGGCATGTAGAGTTTTCTTTACCATGCCATGCCTTATTGCATAATATAGGTATCCCCATGGGGCGGGATCAGGCCATAAATCTCTGCTGCCTCATGTACCCAGATCAGTGTTAGATCTGTGCCAATGTGACCCTTCCTGGTTTTTGGCATAAATTTGGTTAACAGATTTTTAAAAACTGGGCTGTCCATAGATCCACAGTATTCAAACCTGTCACTGACAAAACTCTAAGATAGGAAGGAAGGAGACAGTTTGCAGTGGGTTACATCATTAACAAATGTTTTTAACATGGAATGTGTGGGAAAACTATTTGACAAGGTTTTCTGATTTTACACCAAATAGCTTTTATCATGTTTTGACGTGAAAGTTTTCTGGATATGATTGAAGATACTATCTGTTCAGCATTATAATAATAAAAAAAATGTGTCTCAAGAATTTTGAGCAGGGTCATATTGCAAAGTCCCTCACAAAACTTTGGAAATACCTTGCAGCTTAGGAAAGCTACTGTTACAGCAGAGGAGGGATGGCTCTGCAGTGTCCTTGAAAAGTTGTGGCTGCAAAGAGAAAGACTATGGATGTGGGAGGAGTGAGAATTATTAAAAGGAAATAATTGCCCAGATAGCAATTGTTTATGCATTAACAACACATTATACTCACATAATAGGCCTGGGATTACAAATCATGTAGTCAGTGTCTTCTGTGAGTCAAGAGAAAGTAAATAAATCAAAGAAACTGGTTTGTAGAGGGACTCATGACTCAATGTTGAGAAAGAAAATGCTGAGGATGCTTGTAAAAGTAGATGAGCATGTAGGCTGAAATGACAAATGCTAGAAGAAGTTTAAAAGGACACTGCTTGCATAAAACAAAAAATAAAACCAATCTTGCTTTTTCAGGATGTGAATGCATTCATTTCCTTCCCTTTCAGATTATTTTTTTCATTAATGTTTCATTACTGATTAGAACTCTCTTCTCTTGGTAATTTCAGATGGTAACCTTATTTATACCATACACTTCATGAACATTTTAAAATATTTTTTATCTGAAGAGATGAAGTTGCTTCCTGTGGCTACTCTATCTCAGTGCTTAAGAAACATAATTCCACAGAGCCACTTGTGTTGTACTTCATAGCAAAAATAAGAGCTTCGTAAACTTTACAGATTTTAGCAGCTGCATCTGTAACTTCTTACTTAGTAAGTCTGACAGACTAAAGAATGCAGGACTTTGATTGTGAGTTCACTGCTCCTTTTAGTGGAGAGTAGTATGTTTTGTTCAAGGTCAGCTTCTTGTGCTTAAGGGCTAATACCCACATGAAGGAGAACCATGGATGGGACACAGCTCTGAGAATCAGATTGCATACTGAGAGGGTGTTTGCGTTTATGAATAGCAATTAAACTTTAAGCAGACAATGGAAAATCAAGTGTGCATTAATTAAAAGTTCACAAGACAAACAAATGTCAAATTCTCTCATTGTTGGAAGCCTGGGTTTGTGAGAGTAAGTGTTTATGTGGGTTATGTATAGGTAGTTCTGTATGAGCTTTTTTCTGAGCTCTTCTACTATGAGAAAGAAAAAACCTCAAAGACATTCTGGTTGTAGAAGAATGAGATTGTACAAATAAAGCTTTGCTCAATAGCTTTAGCTTCTCAGTTTTTTAACATATGTCCAGCTTTGTCCTTCATCTAGCTGTGTATATAAGACTGTGACTACTAAAGTGGTCAATTTCCACAGTATTCTCCCCTCCCCTTTATTATTTGGCTTACTTACCTATGCCAGAATAAATCCATCTTCAAGGTTATGTGCATTAAGAATAAAAAGTATTCAGAAAGACAGACTTTGTCTGACTGTATGGATTAACAGTTACAGTTGCTTGTGCTTGTGTATGACCAAAACCTGATCACTGTCTGTGAACCCTTGGTCTTTGATCTGGACATTGCCAACTGTTTGCTTTCCAGTGTTTTAGTAGATAAGATCTGTGTTTCATCTGAGCTTTGACAGTCTAGCCCTGTAGATGCCAAGTAGCCATTTGTAAGAGGAAATAGAGTCTGTTGAATGAAAATTAAAAAGATTTCCATTGGGCTGAATTATAATGTTCCCATTAAAATAAGAATCATTTTAAAAATTATCATGAAGTTCTGTGAAGTGATCTCTGAAGGATAAGAGTCCTAAGTAATATTTAGAAAGTTTCTGGCTTCAAATAACTTTAATAATTAAAGAGTGCATTTGAAAATACTGTACTCTAGATACATTCAGCAAAATTTAAAAACCTTTTTGGAAATATGCTTTCTAAATTGTAACTAAAAATGCTCTCTTGTTCTTTGGTGATAAATTCTACATAAATCACCTGTAAGGCTTAATATTACTGAAAACATTGATTAAATAATAACCGATTTCAGACTCTTCTATTTTTCAGCATCCCTTCTTCAAATAAATAAGTAAGGAAAAAGGGAAATTATGAACAGTTAAATTTACTTCTTTAAAAATAGATTCAGCTGACTCTTAAGCACCTGACAGTCAAAGTCACTATGTATCTGTGGTCTGAACTTCATTTTTGTTGATGGGGCACTTTCCCCCTCCATTTCTGATGTTTCATGTTTCTGAGTGACATGACTTCATACATGTTTGAGCAGTGACATTTGAATCACCAACAAAAGACAAGCTGTAGATAATGGCACTGATGGCTGTTTCTAAAAGGTACTAAAGGAAAGCACAAAATAAGTTTAGAAAAATTTAAAAAGAAATTATAACTTTGGATTAATAAAAAAAGACAAGATAACCTGATTTTATCCATCACTTTCTCCTAAATACCAGATCTTGAAAGAAGCATATTATATGGAAGGCTCTTTAAAATATTTATGTCTTCTGCCACAGGACTTTTTTGAAAGGAAATTAAATTAATCTTAACACTTTCTTATGTTACTAAAAGTAATAGGAGAAACCATTTGTGGTACTGCCATTCAAGCAGATGAAAAGTTAACTTATTTCCTCTTCTGTTTCTGAAATACAGGTGCTAGCAACAGGACTAAGTGGCCTCTATTCATCTTTGCCTACAAAGCTGGAAGAAAAAGGAGAAGAATGGCACTGTCTGATGAAAGATGACTGGCTTTTGTCACCAGCTCTTGTACAATTCATGAATTCCCTTGAATTTTGCAATGCTGTGATACAGGTAACTGAATGGAGTTAGCCTATTCTTTAGAAGTAGTAGTAAGATACAGCTCCTGCAGAAGCTTGTAAGTCATAGAGTTTATTTATTTTTGTTAATGGCATGAACTATTAAAGTTAGACTAAAATAGGCTGTGTATATAATGAATGCCTTGTGCTGTCTGTCCTGGTTATAAGGATGAACTAATATATTTGTGGTTTTCAGGTGCCATATGTTTCAAATGAAAGCTTGATATTGGGAGCATTTTCATTTAAAAGAAAAAACAAATGTTTATTGCATTTTAATACCACTGTTGATCCTAGAAGTAAATGCAATGCCTTTACATGTGGGAAAAAATAGGGTTTGTATCTGTATTTGTTTAAGCTCTCATAACAGCGTACAGAAGATAATAGTGAAAATAGTCTGTTTTGCCTGTTGGTGAGTACAACATAAAGAAAGCCTTCCAAGCAGAATTATTTAGGTCTCCTCCTAGAAGTATAAATTAATTTTAGATTGGCCTATTTTGAATCTATTTTGTTCGTCTTTTCAGTGTTTTGCTCCTTTACTATTTTTTTCTGATTTAAATGTAAAATAAAATTCGTGTCTTTATATATTGTTTTTTAAGGCTTGAATGCTTGGTAGAACCCAAATCCAGTATTTCGTTAAAACAGGATCTAAATTCTACAGAAACTGTGGATTTGTGTTATTTGAAGGAATGTGCTGGATAGGATTGAAAATTTAGTCACATTTACTGTTAAATAAAAGATATGTTTCGGTGCAATGCGTGCAAAGTACGGCAAAGGAACTGATTGACTATTAAAGCCTTGAACAAGCAAAAATAATAGTAGCTGTCATTGTTCAAATGCACTATACAAGATTTTTAGCATGCATGTTTAAACATGAAGAGGAGACAATATTAATTTTGGTGTCTAACCAGAGTTATTCTACATATCTACGTTTGCAGGAGATCATAATTGATACCTTTTTCGTAAAAAATTACATAAAGGGCTCTGCAGAAAAGTTAAAGAATGAATTTTTTAAAAAAACACTGTTCAAATAGATTCAAAATGGTTAAGAATATCAGCTGACATGCAGAAAGAGCAGTTTCTGACTGCTGCTTGATTGTGTCTGTATAGTCTTCAGCTGACTTGAAAGCTCAATTACAGTAGGAATTTTTGCTTTGCACATGGAATGGTCTGTGTTCACCCAAAAACTTTGGCCAGAGATTAAAAAGGAATAGGGTAGCCAAGACCTCTTGCCATTTACTGCTTTGTCCCTGGACCACAGCATAGGAAGGGCCACTCTTTTTCTTCCTCTTAGCAAATTTAGAGTTACAAGTTAAAGGAAGTCTGGTAAGAATTGCAGGTTGGAGAATCTATTTGAGGCCATGTGTCGGCTGTGACACTCCAGTCTCTGTGAACTTCAAACATAATATATTGGTTTTGAAAGCTTTTGAATGGAATTTCATTTTGCTTTTATATACATAAATTGATGTGTTTTCATTGCAAAGACGAAAGGAATGTTTAATTATAAAAGTAAATTTTTGGCCTCTAATAATACTTTGGGGGAGTTTGTTTCTTTGTTTTAAAATTCTTAACCATCCCATTGAATGAACTATTCAGGTTTTGTTGTAATTTCTGTTTATTTTACAGTGGCTGGGAGAAGGGCATGTGAACAGTGTATTCTTACCCCATAGCTGGAGAGTGCTTTGATTTACCTACTCTTGAACTATATGAAAGCAGCTGTTCTGCTTTTCTTTATTGTAGAAGGACAAATTAACAATGGCAAATCCACCTTCAAGTGACCCCAGCAAGGTTGCAGGAGCTGAATTTAGAATTTCAGATCTTGCTTTGATGCATGACTGTATACACTTCTCTGTCCATCCATTCATCTTTGTCAGCGTGCAGGAAGATTGAAAAGCCATGTCTCTGAGTTTGGCAGACTTACTGTAATTAAAGGTGGTGTGTGTATTTCTTTGTAGAACAAACAGTTGTTAAGAACTAGAATCATATCAAATGCTGGTGAGAAGGACAAACGAATGTCTAATTAAATGGGAAAGGGTTTTGGTAGTGAATAATAGCATTCTGTGCCCTGTCTTTTAAATCTCACTGGAGCTGTTCTGTGTCTTTCTCTCCCGCACCCTCTTAGGTGGCACATCCCTTGATACGCAGCCAGCTTGTGAATTACATTTACAATGGATTTTTGGTGCCAGTAATGGCTCCTGCACTCCATAAGGTCAGTGATGTCTGCAAGCATGGCACAAAAGAATAATGGGAAAAAGTATTATGGAAGATCTCTGTATAAAGATACTATCAGATGTAATAATAAATAATAATAATAATAATATCAGATAGTAATAATAATAATAATATCAACTGTATTGTCACTAGTGATTTCCATGCAATTCATTATGTTTCTAGACTAACTTTCCATCTTTTCATTCCATATACTTTCTTAAGCAACATATTAGTATTTCTGGAAATGTTTAAAATTCTTAAGTGTAATGAAGAACCAAAATGTTTTTGTTGTTCTAGACTCACGTATGATCAAAAAAGCAGTGGCATATTAGACATTTCATCACGGCAGACATTTCATCATGTTTCCATGAGCATTCTTTTTCCTAAATGAATATTTTTCTAAGGGAAGATGCTCACAAGGAAAATGTTTAGTCAAGAAATATTATGCTAGTCTTAGCAAGGTTGCTGTAGTTTTGTAGTTCTTTATCATATGGGGTAGAGTTATTTTCCTAAGTAGAGTTTGGTATCAGTTTTCTAATGCATTAGAGTGCAATTTATGTTACTTTGAAGAAAAAGAATTCATTTTTTCTTTGAATTTTAGGGTTTATCCTTTGCAAAATATGTCACCAATGTTAGTGAATTATGTATTTTTTTTTTTTTTGTTAGGCTGCAAAAAGCTACTTTTGTAGCAAAAAGCTACATTTCCAGCTGTTGCAGACTGTGTCAATTATGTCAGTTCCCATCCCTGAAAATGTTAAAGGTCAGGTTGGATGGGACATTGAGCAACCTGGTGTAGTGGAAATGTCCCTTGGAAGGGGAGTTGGAACTCGATGATCTTTAAGGTCCCTTCCAACCCAGGTCACCATATGGTTCTGTGATTTTATGAATTAAGTCTTCATTGCCCTGTAAAAGAACATTCCTTTTGAGGAGAAAATGTAGAAACAGCTGAGAGTAAAAATCCACAAAAAACTTTCAGAAGCAAACAAAAAAATTAGTTTTGTAAGGTCTCCTTACTCTCACAAAGCCTACTAAGCACAAAGCATTGCAGCTGTTCCATTTTCTGGAGGACAGTGAAACACTGTACGCTGCTTTCTTGTTCACAGCTTGTTTCAGTAGCACACACAATTCTTCGTGGTAAATAGTCACCAAGAAAGTCATAAGCAATGCAGAGTCTTTCCCAACGATTTGGCAGACCTCAAACACTTGGGAATTGGGTGAGGGTTGACATAAAATTTGGCTGTGATCCAGATCAAAGCTTTAGTCTGTCCTGAGGTGGTTCACCTCCTTACCTGGCAGTAATTTTTTCTATTCCTGTATCTGGACTTAATCCCTTACCAAGACTGGGAATTAGAAGTGAAAAGCCTAACCAGTTTCAGGTCAAGGTTATGGATAATGAGGGGCATATCAGAATGGATTCTAGTCTTAGTGAGTACTACTTTATCTCTGAAGTATTCGAGATTAACCTTAGATTGTTTTGAATACAACCGTACCTCTGAAAGCCATTCTTACCAGTCAGTAAATCTCCTGACCTCTTATTGGGTTGATTACTTCCTTGTTGATGTTAAATAATTTAGAGATGGCTGTTGTGATTCCTTTTTTCCTTTGATGAAAATTTTGTTTATATACTCTGAAAGTGGGTGAAATCATATTTCTCTTGAAAATGGGGATGTTGGCTGCTAACATAGGTGACTTTCATAGCCTAGATCTTTCTTGAATCCTGATATTCTGGTTGGTGCCTTGTTCTTCCAATAATAAACCTTTCCTTGATTAGCATTAAAATTGACTTCTTCCTAGTTAAAAATTAACTTCTTCTATATAAACTTCAAATGATTTTAATGGAGAAGATGGATTGCACCATCTAGTGGATCTGATACAAGGCTCTCATGTTGGTGAGACCAAAACTCTGTAGCAAAAGGAATTAAGTAAGTTGAGGCACAATTTGACCTTTTCAGTCTTTCTGTCCTGTGCTCCACATTAATAACGGGAAATAAATATTTTGCCTTCTTGCTTTTGAGGCATATGTCTATGCACTATGATAATTATGCTGCAACAGCTCCTTCATACATAAAAATTATTTCTAGTTGCCATTGAAAACATTAATACTGAGAAGAAGAGTGGACTTTAAAACTGTATCTCCCTTTTGAGGACTTAATGTTGTAATTAACCTTGAGGTTAATAAAAAATTGGAAAGGACTAAAATGAGAGTCCAGATGTTTCATGACAGTTTTTAAAACAGAAGTTCTTTCATTTAGCACAATACTAAATGTATCTTGATTTTTTTTCTTTTGAACCGACTGAAGTTCGTTTGGTGTCATAAAGTCTACTTGTGGCTGAAGGTTTTAGTTTTAATTCAGTCATTCAGTTTGGGTTGTTCTGATTCATTCTGGCTTGAGTTCAAATACTGTGTGTAATGGAGCATGGTATAAATACCTGATGAGGAAGACAGATCAATGCAAGGTTAAAGGGTGGTAGGAAGAGATGATGATAATTACTGGCACATCTTCCTAAGGTCTTTCTCTAAATCTTATTTCTAGAATTTAACTGGTGTGGAACAGCTACTTCTGATAATTCTTGGTGATAGGATGGAAGGAAGTCAGTCAGGCTGTCAGCCTGTCTAGACCTCATGTAGCACACTGGTCTTAACTGGCTCTGCTTTAGAATGGCTTGGGCAGGCAGACTACTACAAACCTGGTCTTTCTGTACTGTATTCTAATTTTTCTACAAGAAGTATGTTCTGAGGGAAAAAATTTCTCTGCAGCAAGACACAGACTAGCATTGTTTATGCAAAGACAGTTCCAGTCAAGAATGGGATTGGACTAGGTATCTCCAGAGGTTCCTTCCAACTCTAGTTAGTCTATGATTAAGTACTGTGATGTCTTTAAAGTATTTTGTCATAAGGTCCCCATCCCCATTTAGCAGTGAGCATGCATTGTCATGATCTTTTTTTTGCTGTTGAAGCTCTTCAGCTTCAACTGGCCTTTGGCTTTCCTCATCCTTTCTCTGCATATTCAGGCACTTTTTCCATATTCTTGGGTCACCTTTCCATGCTTCTGTCTCTTCATGTTTCAGACTTTTTAGGAGCTCTTAATTCATCCAGGCCTCTTACCTCCTTTGCTCAATTTCCTTCTCTTCTCCCAACTTAAAACATCTGACTATCAAACAAAGACTTTTGGTAAAAGTATTATTAAAATTTCAGTAAGTAAAATTTTATTAAAAATTGTTTAGACTTTCAATATGTGTTCAAAACTTTAAGATATGCTAATGTGTGATCTTGAAATGTTTGTGACATTTATGGAACCAGTAGTAAGCTATGCCTTTTAAAAATTTTTGCATATTGTCTCCCTATAAATATTTACTATGTACACAGTTCACTGTGTGAATGAAACAGTATGAGACTGTTGAGGATGGAGATGTTTCTATGAAAAAGTCCGGGGGTGGGAAGACCAATATATTTTTCTTGGTGTGATTTTTCTGGTCTTATCTTGGGAAGCTAGTATGGAGTTGAAAAAAAGAGTACTGTAGTTCAGGTTTTTTCCAGTTAAGGAAGTTTCAAATTGATCAGGCAGCTAGCTAGCTTGAAATAACCTGTTTTTCACAGTGAGCTCTGTGCAGGTTATTTTTGTAGCAGATTAACTGCGATGTGCTTAAATAACCCAAACATTCTCAAGCTTATGACTCCCTAACTTCATTTCTCAAAGATAAGTATCCTAAATATAGCATGTTCCTGTAGCCTAATTTATACCTTGTCTGTCCTAGTCTTGTCACTTTGTGTGGGTTATCCCACCTACATGTGTAATGAGCGATTGACAAGCATGTTCCTATCTCCAAAGCTGCACATTGCTGAATGGCTAGTCAGAGCCCAGATTTGTATTATGTAGCTGGGCATGTGCATTAGCTGCCTGTGCTGGAAAGCCCTGCCTTGTCCTTTGGTTATCTGGATGTTATTGTACTTTTTACAGAAGTGTTACCTCCCTTACTTCTGACACAGGAGTTGCTTGAGACATCAAAAAAGTGGTTCAATGAAACTGTTAGCAAAGCAGGGGGGAATGCATGTCTTTCTGCAAGGTCAGAAATTCATTTGAAAACAGAGGAATAAATGGTTTGTCTGTAAAGATACAGAGCTAAAGAAAATGTTAATTTGGTAGTTTTTTTTCCATTGCTTAATTTTTTACCCAAACCGTCTTTTATTCTTTCTGGTGTACGTGTCTGGGATTTAGAAAAAATTAAGACTATCTTACAGAAATTGTTCTTACATTATGACTGGCAACTTCTGATGGCATGTCAGTTACAACTTGAAATTATGCAGCTCTGTATGTTCTTCCTTGTATTTTGATACGTAGGGAAAAAAATGCTCGGGAGAAGGTATGGTTCTGTTCAGAGAATGGTACAGAGCCTTAGCATTGGATTCTGTGACATACTTTAGTGGCTATTTCCTGCTGCACTTTCAAAACTAACATTGAGCTCTATCAATAACATACAAGGTCTTTTGGGGCCAGATTATATAAGGGTCTAAGTAATTGAATAAGACTAATTTTCCCCTCAGTTGAAACCTCATTGAAAATCCCAGAATGAATCCAGAATAACCCTGTTGAAGTCATTTTTACTGGCTCTGTTAGAGGATGTATTGCCTTATTTTGGTCTCTATGTAGTTCTTAGTAGACTGTGTTTATTTACCTTATTCTTTTAGGTAGTTACAGCACTTCTGTAGAAATGTAAGTGAAATAGTTTTCAGAAGATCTTGAATATGTATATATTTTGCAGTCAAGACCATGTTCTAGATAATTAGGAGCCACACTTTGGCATTTATAAATATTTTGTTTCCTTTGGTACAATTAAAATTGGTTGTATACATCCTTTCACTGTAAACACATGTGATTTCCTTTTAGTTTGGTGTTCAAAGAATTTGGTTGACACAGGCAGCTATTCAGACTATCTTGGATGTTTATGTAATTTGTGGTACTTCAATTTATTGAAGAAAGCACTAAAATCTGACAAATT